TAATTTCTAATAAAATTCTATGTATATCAAGCACATCAAGGTCAGCTCAGTAGAGCCATTTGGGTCCTACGGCGCCAAAAGTTGCTACTACAGTTAACTGTTGCTACATTCAGACATGCAGTGAAGAGAGCAGAGAGCGATACACAGATAGATGAAATTTTCAGTGAGTGAAAAACAGTGATATTCTCAAAAAATTATGAAAGTTGACGGGCCCTCAAAGTCTTAAATTTAGTTGTATCAAGTTTAAGGCCATAAACCGCTGTATTTCTGCCGTTCTGAAAGCACCTCCTGCTGGCAGAGATGTTGTATCACAAACAGCGCTCATTAAGTATATACAGTTCTGTAAATAGATATGAAGAAGGTTTGTTCTTCCTTTGTGGTTTTGGCCACACAGCATATCTTGTTTCTCCTGTGAGAGGAATTTACCATCATTCACACTTTGATAAGAGTAAGGGAGAGCAAAGCAGTTCCTGAGCGGGGGTTACTGTATGTTAATGTTAACCCCGTCTCCACAAGAGGTAGCGTTGTTTATCTTAAGGCAAAAGTCATCCTTTGTTGTCCACAAAAGCCTAATCATAACCAAATTAAACTTTCCACACAATGGGCTTCAATTATGAAACGAGCGTACGACCGAAAATTGGGCGTACAGTCATTTCTACGCAAAACTTGGCATTTACCAATATGGACTAAGTTATTTAATTAATAGGCTATAATAATTGATTGATAATAATTGTTTAAATTAATATAATATTTGATACTTTTGCCTCCATTTTCTTGATTTTAAGGCTGAAATGTGAAGTTAATCATTTAATAAAACTTTTTGTTTTGTGAAAATCTGAACTGTATCTGAACTCTAAATCATGCTTTTTACAGTCTTTTTAATTTTATTTATGCAGGTCTTAAAAAGTCTTAAATATGAGCTTAAATATACCCTGGTCTGGCAAAAACCGTCAATTCATGTTTTTAGGTAGGGCTATATAATTGTCCGGACCTCGGCTGGTGAGGAGGATTCATTACTGGACCTCAAGCAATTTTAGTTGAAGACCCCTGATTTAGATTATTTTCCTGACTGACAACCGACACTCATTAGTCGATCATTAACCAGTAAGATTAGAATGTCTAGAAACTAGGGCTGTCAATAGATTGAATTTTTTAATCTCGATTAATCGCACCCTTTTTGTGTGATTAACTGTGATTAATCGTACACTTATAGTGAAATTAAACATACACTATTTATTTTAACATGTTTATTTTTGTCACCATTTCACAAAATTGCTACATCCAGCAAAGAGAACTATCAGAACAGTTTCAATCTCAATCTCAATTTCAATTTCCTCCTTGTCAAGCTAAAACAGAACACACAGAAGCTTATTTTTCTAGTCTGCATTTAACCAGCTGCTAAGGCATACAACATGTTTATTTTTGTCATCATTTCACAAAATTGCTATATCCAGCAAAGAGAACCCTCAGCAGACTTTGTCTAGACACCAAATTCAGAATCAAGTCACTTTAATATGAACTTTGAACATTTTTCATCAAATTAAAAAACAAATGACTTTATCGTTGAGATGCGCAGTTGTACCCAAGTAATTATGCGCGCTTACCGATGTCCAGTGGTCCCCTGTCAAAGCAACACTTTTTGTTTGTGATAGCAGCTCTACTTTGCATTTCTCTTCGTTAATGTACAGTTCGTGAATCCTGGACATGATTGTTGATCTTGACGGTAGCTCGAACGATGGGTCGGAAGTGGCAATCCTGATCACTTCCTTCAGGCCCTGGTCAGCAACGATGTTGACTGGACGGCAGTCCTTACCAATCCACTTTGCTATGGAAGTAGTAAGCCTGGCTGACGTTTGTCTACTCGCACGCCGTATACACTGATCCAGTGTGGGTTGTTGCACACTACTCGTCAGTTTGCTAGTAGAACCTGTGATGTGTTTTGCTTTTAAATGATATTTTAAACTCGATGAGCTTCGATGGTAGGCCAGTTCTTTGTTACAGTGTATGCACACAACTTTGCGTTTATCCAGAGTGCCATCCAATTTTCTTTAAGAGAAATTTCTGCCTTCAGAGTTACTAGTGCTTGTGCCATTGTAGTGCTATGAGTGATAAACTCCCGACCCCCAATATCAACTGCGTGATGCAAATTACGTTAATGACGCACCTTTGTGTGTTTCAGTAATTTATTTGCCTTATTTGAGTTAAATTATTTTAACGCAATAAGGATTTTGTATTAATCGCATGCGTTAACACCTTAACGTTGACAGCCCTACTAGAAACGCTTCTGTGAATGGAGAAAAACAGAAATTAAGTATAAAATGAATAAAATAAATAGGACTACACAAAATATATTTCTCTTAAATAATTAACAGATTAACAAAAGAAAAAACTGTGCGACAAGTATAGGCTATGCTGGTTTTTGAGACACTCTTCATGTATTTTATTTGTTTTCTTTATATCTTTATTTTATTAAATCCAACTGATCGCGCAGACGCCTCATGCACACACACATATCAGTTCTAACATTGCTGATTTGACATTTCAGCCATTCATCATCAAACTAAAATCCAGTCAACCAAACGTAAAAGTTACACTGCTCAATTTAAAAGGTACACTGTAAAATCAGCGTGCAACAAACAAACAAACATTTTAGCGCATGTGAAGGATGATGTTTTACACGGATATTGGAACACGAGTGAAGTACAAAGCCTGGTTTACATAATGAATAATAGTTTAGCAACCAAATGTTACATGGAAAAATGGAAACATTTGGATTCTTGTTGAATGAGAGAGGCTCGTGAGCGCAATGCCATTTCAATTTCGCTTTAAATAACTTCATTTTAGCTTGCTATTTCTATGCTGTTTATAATGAATGCCACTTTAGCCTAATTTGTGTTTTATTTCATAGTTTAATATCTAATTTTATAGCTGCTTATTTTTCATTCTTGTTCTGTTCTGAATTCTGTTAAATGTAAAGGATTTGTTGTGGAGTAAGTGGAACTAAATTGGCTATATGTGTTTATAATGTTTGTAAATGTTTTGTTATATTTAACAATATTTAATATACATAGAAATTAATGTAATTGTTTGCAATTACAAATGTAACTGCTCTTTTTGGAGTAAGATCAATTTCTCTTTCATTAGATTACTTCCTCGTTTTGGCCAGGTTATGTATCTCCATGTCATAATTTTAGGGGCAAGGCTTCTAAACCGGGGTATTTTTAGGGGCGTAATATTCAAATGACGATTGTTTTCAGCCGCCACATTTATCAACATACGATCATTTGTATGATACGAATGTTTCATGGATCACACGTGAACCCTGTTGTAAGATGATTTCTGCGTACGGATCTGCGCTCGTTTCTACGTTAGATTGATAAATGAGACCCATTGTGTGGAAAGGGGGTTTGCCACCTTGACTGCTGTTCACTACAAAGTTTAATATTTATTAAAAACAATAAGACTATCAAGGCTCCTCAAGTGTTTTTCATAAAAATAATTTTTGAAATATATTAAGATTATTATCTTATTATATTAAGATGATTCTCATTATAAAGGATTAAATCTGTTCTGTTTTAGCTCAGTTCATCAGAAGAAATCAGAAGCAGAGCCCAGCTGTGTGTCTATGAAGAGTGACGTGTCTATGATTCATCCAATAAAGTTTAACAGTGGAGATTCACCGTGTGGTCTCAGGTATAGTGTTTGTATAAAAATATGATTATAACATGACATTTTGTATTATCATATATTATCAAAGTTCAGTTCATTATTTTTGTCTAAACACAGTGTATGAGATGTTTATCAAGTGCTCTTTAAAGTGAATTTGATAGTGATAAACGTATAGTTGATTTGTTGCATGCAGTAATTTAAAGGATGAACTTTACTCTCTCTCTCTCTGTTATAGTTCAGTTCACCAGAAGAGCTCAGAATCAGAGCCCAGCTGTGTATCTATGAAGAGTGATGTGTCTATGATTCATCCAATAAAGTTTAACAGTGGAGAAAAACAACCTGGTCTCCAGAGATGGCAAAAGTACACACATCCTTCACTCAAGTAAAAGTACAGATACTCATGTTTAAAAAGACTGAAGTACTGACTACACTTTTTTCAGTCAAGTTAAAGTAAAGAAGTATAGGCTCTGACATGTACTTAAGTAAAAAGTAGCCATTACTATGACCTATTTCAATGTCACGCTGGTAACTGGACCTCACATCATATTAATACATTAATACAAAATAACTTTTTTGAAGAGCTAATGAATGTATCCAGGCTGAACATCCACCATGTAGAACACAAGCAGAGTAAAGACTAAGCTGATGAAAAAAAAACTATTTACCATCACCCAGGCCACATTCTACATTGCAGGGTTTTTCTGCCTCTTGCCCTCGGAAACAACTCAAAATTATTATTATGCTTTAATTAGTGTGCAAGCATAATTTACACTTGTTTACCCCGATAACATGCAGGGGCATATAACTATAAATCATTAGAAATGTCTACGGTTTTATTATAAAATATTAAATTATTATGATAAAACATCTGTCACAGTAATTTCTTAATGTTTGTCAGGAAATCTTATGCATCCACTGAAAGAAAAATAACCCCTGTTCACTTCTCTACACTGGAGAAAAATTTATGGATATGGATGTTTACTTCCAATTTCTTTAGAGAAAAAGAGTTATTTCTCTCATTTTTATCCAAAATAGGGGTTTGTGTGAGCATTAGTGAGCACACGCGTAATGTAATGTCTGTTTCATTCATACTGGCAGCCGGAGGCGCCCTTGCGCAGAAACTCCACAAGTGAGACTCACAGAAGTAATAGAACTGAAGACACTCCAGGCAATCCCTAAAATGGACAAAGATATCCAGCTATCAGTGTAACTGAATAAAATGCAGATAGAGACATTTTACCTGATGAAACATCAATATAATAAACATACGATTGTGACAGTATACTATATGGTTTATCTGTTCTTCAAGCTATCTCGGTGTAACGTTCGGAGCGTGACAACAGAGTTAAGGATTCAAATGCAAGGCTTTATTTAAAGAGCGTAGTGAAGAACAGGCATGGTCAAAATACCAGCAAACAGTAACATCCAAGGTAATCCAAAAGAGTAATCCGTAAACAGGCAATGGTCAGTGCAGGCAGCAAAACAATAGTAAAAAAACAGGTAAACAGTCCAAGATCCAAAAAACACGAAGGCAAGGCAAGTGTATGGATATGGATGCTTACTTCCAATTTCTTTAGAGAAAAAGAGTTATTTCTCTAATTTTTATCCAAAATAGGGGGTTGTGTGAGCATTAGTGAGCACACGCGTAATGTAATGTCTGTTTCATTCATACTGGTAGCCGGAGGTGCCCTTGCGCAGAAACTCCACAAGTGAGACTCACAGAAGTAATAGTTATGACATTCCAGGAAATCACATTGACAAAGGCCGCCAGTTATCGTTGAAGCAAAATAAACGCAGATAGAGAGGATAAACAGTTAGAAGACAATAAACATACGATTGCGCCAGTATATGGTTTATCTGTGTTCTTCAAGCCATCTCTGGTATTTTTAAGAATAAAATTACTCAGCGATGTGTGTGAGTGCAACCTTTATAGTCCTCCTGATTGGAAACAGCTGAAATCCGATAACGAGTTCCTAGGCAGAGGGTTATGGGAAATGGAGTCCGGAGTTGAGTGGCAAAGGTATGGGATGGAGATTGTAACATAGCCCCCGCCCCCTCTTAAGGATTGGCTTCCAGACGCTCCTAAATGAGAACAGAAATGAGTCCAGGAGGGAGGTGGTGTGGAGGCGGAACAGGGGGGGAGGGCCAGGTCCATGAGGAAGTGGAGGAACAGGGGACTGAGGCAGAGCCAATGGAGCAGGTACCAAGGTGGAGCCGGTGGAGCAGGAAGCCAAGGCGGAGCAGAGTGCCAGGGCGGAGCCGGCAGAGCAGGAAGCCAAGATTGAGCAGGCAGTGCTGTAGACCCCCAAGGCGGAGCAGAAGACCACCAGGGTGGAGCAGGCGGCGCTAAAGACCACCAGGGCAGAAGAGCACCAGGACTGAGCAGACTGGTCTGAAGATCTCCATGGTGGATCAGACGGGTACAATGATCCCCACAGCAGAGCAGACGGGACCGAAGATCCCCTCAGTGGTTAGCTTAGGAGTGGATTTGGGGACTGGAGCATGCTCAGGAATGGATTCGTGGACTGGAGCAGACTCTGGAGCGGACTCTGGGACTGGAGCGAGCCAATTTGTGAAAATCTCTGGGCAGGCAACCATCTTGAGATGAGTTTCAGGTGCGGGGACCACAAGACAAATCACAGGAGTTGCTATCCTAATAGCTGGACGTGGTGGTTGCACTGATGGGCCAAGCTCCATGGCCACTGGAGCTTGCCGATGTTGGTCTCTTCCAAAACTATTAGGGGTTTTACAGGCCCCTGCCTCTCCCACAGTAAAGGAGGAACCAATTTGCAAGAGTGCAAAGTCCAAAAACTGACAAAGTGACCCTCAAGGACCATCTCGGGTGAGTTTAGTCTTTAATGATTCATTAAGTCCATAACAAAAAAAAATCAACATAAGGTCCGGGAGATGAGCATGCTCAGGAATGGATTCGTGGACTGGAGCAGACTCTGGAGCGGACTCTGGGACTGGAGCGGGCACCACCACCTTGGAAGGTTCTGCAGCAGAAGCTGCCACCTCTGGAGGAGCTACAGTGGTATGTGCAGCCCAAACACATAGAATGGCCGCAGCCATCACAGGCAGGACAGAGAGCACAGAGTCTATTTCCGAGACAGACGGCGCTGTGATCGGTAAACTAGAGAGCGTCGTGACTTGCAGGCTCAAGTGCGTAGCAGCCGGCAGGCCTGGGTGCGTAGCGGGCGGTGGGTTAGAGAGGGCTGAAATCAC